TCATCGATTTAATCATCTGAGTTTTTCAAATCGGCAAGAATTTTGTTGAAATTGTTCAAGTGTTTATTCATCGAAATACCTTTCTTGTAATCGAAACGAAACAATCTCTTTTTCAAGTATCATGAACTTGAAACGCCTTCTAACGCCTTCCAAAGCTCCTTCGCAGTATCATATTTTGTGAAGGCGTACTTATCCTCTTTCGCAAGGCAAAGTCAGATGGAACTACAGGCCAGGAGATTCACTTTCTTCCATTCTATCTCGTTCAAATCATCTGGTTTGTCTTCTAGAGTGAAGTGCAAGTTCATCTGGACAAGCATATCTTTAACTTCGCATCTCCACATGCCGAGGTTGTTGCTTCCATCAAACTTTTCTACTTCGAACTTAGCATGAGACACTGGGGTCCAGTGCCTAGAGTTTCTTGTAGTCACTGGGTTACTTGTGGACTCGGTTGAGACTGCTCAATAATCTCCATCATAAACAATAACGGACGCTTGAAATACCCGGAACACGGTCCAAAAACTTCACTAAAAATTAAGGTCTGAATCTCAAAAAATGAAATCCGCGGTTGTGTCCAGAATGGTTGATTTAGCTAGGAAAGCACTTTCTCCACCTCTCTAGGGACCTCAATGAAATTTCTCCAAATCTAGAGGCCAAATTACAATTTCCCAAAACTCCAGGGACCTTACTGCAACTTATAGAAGTTTCAGGGGCTAAATTGTAATTTTAACAAGATTAGGGGTTGAAATGTAATTTTCCAAACTTTCAGGGGCCTCCCTGCAATTTTAGAAATTTTGGTTGACTGGGATGATGATGTGGCAGATGTGATGACGTGGCAAACACATATAGTGATGATGCTCGATACGTGGCAATGACTTGGCAGCCACATGGTTTAGGCGTGGTAGTGACTGGGCTGACACCTAGCGTTGATATGGCAGTGTTGCAAAAATAATTTGCAATATTGTCGTACCAAAGACTTGAACCTTGGCCAAGGGAGAGATATGCTCAACCTTAACCACTTGGACAGAGCTCCACTTAGTGTTGGATTTCCTTAAAATATATAGTTGAAGTATATATTTTGGCGCCACAAAGTCGTTTTCTTTCTCTCGCCGCGCGTGGGTCTTCTGGTTCAGAGTTGACTTTACGCGCTAAACTTTGACTGGAGCGTGTAGGCCACTCCGACTTCCGTTTTGGTCGTTCTTTTTGGGTCTGGACTCCTCTCATCAAGACGGATCGCCTGGTATATTCAGAAGTTAATTTCGACAACTTTGAATTTTTCAATTTATAGAAAACAGAGTTGCGGATGCTCTATTTTGGCACAATGATGCTCTGATACCAATTTGTTGTGCTTAAGAGGCAAAAAACAATCACACATAAGCACACAAGTAAAAAAACACAAAGATTTACGTGGTTTGGCAAATCGCCTATATCCACAGGCAACGGATTTCATTATATGGAGAGAAATACAACAATGGAGGAGGAGGAGACACTACTCTCACTCAATTCACACTCACTCACTCAATTGCTTACACTTTGCATACACTCTCTAATTTCACCACACAAAACTCCTTCCATTTACTTCCCATTTTATATATGCAATGGGAGAGCCATCTCTAGCTTTTCATTTGTCTTCAATCAGCAGCCATTGTTGACAAAGAAAATCTGAGCCAATCTTCAACAGTTTCTTATGCTTTCCAAATGCACCTTATAGCCCTACAGATATTGCATGTTTCGTGAGATTCCGACCCTGTAGGAGCTAATATTAAGAGAGCAAGTAGAGAAGCACCAGGTAATCATTTTGCCGGCCTGATCATTAAATGTGGCTATTTGGTTGCTGCTGCAATTCCACTCCATGGCCATGAATACGTTGTTTGTTTCTGAGAAGGGAAAAGAGCTAGATCTCAAGTCAATACTTGAGCTTACGTTGATGATGTTGTTGTTGATGATGATGGTGCAGTTGAGAGATGTTACTGGATTGTTGACTTTAAGGTAGTTTCCATTCAATGAAATTTTCGGCACCTCAAGATCGATCATTGTTAAGTAAGGTGCGACCGTGAGGCTGCTGCTACTTGGGTTCTTACACTCTATGGAGAACCATTTATTAAAGTAACAATTGCGACCCATTTCAAAATGATATGGAATTGTAACATTTCCACAGTATTCTAGACAACCAGGCTTCACATAAGAAAAAGCCGATGTTTTTGTCAGCCATAACAGCAACTGCAACGCCAGGAGGAGGGAAGATGAGGAGGAGAAGTTTTTTAGCAAAGCCATATATATTTTTTCAACAATGCTACGTGGCCTAAATTTTTATGGCTCGAATGTCTCAAAATACGTTGTTTTGGGTGTAAAACGACGTCGTTTTGACATATTCAAGCCATTCCGACCATACAAATTCGGGCTACCAAGTATTTTTCATAATTTTTTTCCTCTATAGTTTCTAAGTTCTATATATATTTCTCATATTTTATATTATTTCCCTACCCTATGTAAAATGTTTATGTAGAAGAAGTTTTGAGATTCCTAGTTGTCATAATTGACCGTAATTGAATAATAGAAAAAAGCCCCTACTATATGTTTGACTCTTTTTTATTTTTTAATACTATGCTTGTACTAGAATGAAAATGAAATCCTTCAATAATACAAATGAAATATCTTTCATTACAATTTTAGAATAAAAAATACCACAATCCTAATAAATACATACCACACACATGCACGTCAATTGTCGAACTTCATTACAAAGATTGCAAATTTCCACACGGCATATTAATACTATGAAAAGTATACTTTTAACTAGGAAATTATAAATAATAGATCCTTTTTTTTTTTAAATTCAAATTTAATTATGACGTGTCAGGTTAACACAAATAATAATGATTTAGATTAGTGTCAAACTAGCTTAATACCAAGTTGACACAAAAAATCTATTTAATAGAAGATTAGTTCTACATTGTAATGTTATTTTCACCAAAATAAATAAATAAAAAAAGTGTGTCTTGATATGTTTAAATTCCATAAGTAAGGAGGGGTGAACAAAAAAAATTGTTTCCATACAAAAAATACCATAAATGGGGATTAATTAAGTGGATCAGTCTTGTATCTCCACTTATTTAAATATGTTGTGTTTTTAATCACAAAATGAGATTAATATGACATGACATCATGTTATATTTGATATTTACTTGTTACGTACATAAAAACTAATTATAGAGTTAGAAACATAATGCAAAAATAAATAAATTATAACTAAAAAAAATCTTATTCCTTCATATAGATTATATATATAATTTTTTTTTTTTAATATCATGCCTGGAATGAAATGAAAAGAAAAATTTTCCTTGGAAGTACTGCTCTGCTTGCAATGGTCATCTTCACTTGAGGTGCAAGATTCAAATTCGTAAGTCTATACATGTGTTTAAGAAAGTCTTCATCTTCATTTTCTCTAGGCACTTGAATGAAAAATCAAAAGAAGATTTTTGCCACAACTAAAAGTCATCATTTTCTCGAAGTATTTGTTAAAAGTTTTGAAAATTAATTTTTTCAATGACAAGAAAATCGAGAAAATTATTTGTACATACGTACATCTTATATTCTAATCACATCTGCTTCAAATTTATACTTATGAACATGAATATGTATGCAATGCACAAATACATGTGAATGTTATTATGCACAAATCAAGACTACTTTACCAAAAAGTTAATTTAAATAAATAAATAAATAAAAGGTTGCACAAAAAAATAGCATGGAAAATTAAAGTTAATTTAGACCATACCATGCCACAGAATTGGCATGAACTGTCAAAATTGAAGAGCATTATACATAGTGGCCTCGTTTGATTAACATGATTAATACCGTCAAAATGTGCTTTGACATGTTTAAATCGTATAAGTAAGGACAGGTTGAACAAAAAAAAAAAAAAAAAATTGTTTCATGTAAAAAATATCATAAATGGGGATTAAGTGGACCAGTCTTATCTCCTCACTATCCAAATATGTTGTGTTTTTCAGCACAAAATGAAATATATGTTGTGTTTTTCATCACAAAATGAAATTGATATGATCTCGTGGTATCATTTATATCGAATATTTACTTGTTACGAACATAGAAACTAATCATAGAGTTAGACACATTATAATTTTATTTTATTTTATTTTTTTTTGAATATCATGCCTTGAATGAAAATAAAAAGAAGAATTTTCCTTGGAAATACTGCTCTGCTTGCAATGGTCATCTTCATTTGAGGTGCAGGTTTCAAATTCCTAAGCCTATTCATGTGTTTAAGTCAGTCTTCATCTTCATTTTCACCAAGTACTTGGATGAAAAATCAAAAGAAGATTTTTTCGTTGAAGTATTATCTGTCACAACTAGTAGATTTTCATATTTTTAAGTTTACTTTTAAAAGTCAACATTTGCTCGAAGTATTTGTTAAAAATTTTGAAAATTAATTTTTATTGATAACAAGAAAATTGAGAAAATTACATGTACATACGTCCGTCTTCTATTCTAATCACATCTGCTTCAAATATATATTTATGAAGATGAATATGTATGCAATGCAAAAATGCACGTGAATGTTATTGCGTACAAATCAAGACTGCTTTTCCAAATAGTTAATTTAAATTTTCAAAAAAGGATGCATAAAAAATAGCATTGCAAATTAAAGTTTCAAGAGACTAGAAGATCATGAAAATTGATTTAGACCATACCATGCTACAGAATTGGCATGAACTGTCAAAATTGAAGAGCATTGTACGTAATAGTTCCTAACTTTTATCCATCAAAATCAAAGGGAAAACGATCTAAAAACAAAATTGTTATACAGAATTAATCTAAAAAATGATGTGGCAAGGGCATTCTTGAAAATAAAAGCCATTCTGATAGGCTTTTTCGATTTTAAAATGAGAGCACCTAAAGCTGCTACAACATTCTAGATGAAAATTCTGCATGTTTTTTTTTTTTTTTTTTTTTAGTTTTAGTATAAATTTCTTTGTATGGCGCTACTCAGAACAAACAGACAGCACAATGCATCTAAAAACTACTTGGAAAGTTTGTCCCCCATTCCGTGCAACCTTTTGTCCTTCCTCAGTGGCACTACTCGAGAGCTTCACAACTGGATCAGCTTCAAGTTCTTCATCTATAAGAGCTTCAAACATAGGGTGCCCCTCCAAACAAGCCTTCGTCCACTCCCCAAGTTCTTCCACATCCGTAATCGTATACATAATCCCGCCAACTCCAAGAACATAAGCATATTCATTTAGCAAGTGTGGGCTGATCACACAACGCCGATGATTCTTCTCTTTAAAGTGAGGATCAGGGAACAGGAAAAACATCTTCGATAATTGTCCTTTCTCAAAGTAATTCGGAATGTATTTCATGGAAATAGTTCTAACCACTGATACATTCTGGTACTGATTAGGATGTGCTACCCTCAAAGCTAAAACCCGTTCCTTGACATACTCCGTCACTTTGTCCCTCAGCTCCATCCCGATCATCAGGGTGTCAGGGAATAGCGTTGAAAGACTAATTAGGAGTCCTCCAAAACCACAGCCAATATCTGCAAATTGGATCTTCTTGGAAACCTTATTGGATGATGGAAAAAGTTGAGGGAAATGGAAGGCATAGTCGACATGGCAAGGGGAGATAGGCACAGGGAAGTAGGAGTCACTTAGTGGATTGCTGTGAGCTCGTGCCCGATAAAAACATTTCCGTGGCAAACGAGTCGTCTTGCTGATATAAGGGCTTGCCTCATTCCACATCATCTTCTTTTCTCAAAACTGCATAGCAGCAACAACTTATAATTTACAGGATAGGGAGAAAAAAATAAATAAATAAACCAAAAAAATAATTACAGGATGTAGATGTTGAAGTTTAAAGCAGCTCTGTTGTCTAAAAGAAAGAAAATTATAAATGGATATTGTTAACAAAGGCTTCTCAATGTTCTCATACAATTTTCTTTTTCAAAAATTATAACTTTTTTTCCACATTAAGCAATGTTAAATCAAAGTATCGTATTAGGGTTCGATGTTTCCTTTTTTCCTAGTTTTATTTTTTTTCCCCTTCTTTTCCCAAATCTGGTTAAATATAAAAAATATGTCAGATTCCACGGCATGTTTTAATGAAGAAGATAATGAAACGTTGGAAGAACTTTGTCAAATTTTTTTTGTTTTCTCTCCATCCATTTCGACAAGTAAAATATGAAAGTTTTAGTTTGCAGACCTAATACTCCTCATTTATGCTTTCATATTGCCAAAATTAAGTTCTACTATATTACTCTCTCTCTTCCCAACTTGCATTATTTCTTCTAGAGCACAATATTTGTTCCATTTTCTTTGCAAACACAGAAGCTTTCCATTTTCCAAAATAGAATCTGAATAATTAGCCTCTCACACAAACATTATCTCTCTCCATATAAGAAATCACCAGCGTAAGGTCTCTTACCATCCTTGCCAAAGATTCTTGCATTTTAACAAATAGCAGTAACATGACTTTGAATAAAAAATTTCAACTTCTTTAGAATCCTCAGACACAACCGGCTGATACATACTAATATCTGTTGATCTTCACTTTGATTGCTTTACAATTCACGATTCACTAATTCAATCGTTGGGATAATTGGATCTAACTATAATATCATAATTACATCTATTGAAAATTATATAGAAATAAAAATATAATCATTAAACTCAATATATATCCCAAAAAAAAAACCTTTTTAAAAAACTTAAGGGAAAATAATTTATAAGTCTTATTAGAGAGACTTATGCTACATATGGTACTACTAAAAAACTTATGTTCTCATAAGTCCTGTGGGAAGTCTGTTGACACATTTACCCTCAAAATTAGTTGTTAATATCATAAATAATAGTAAAACCATATATAGGAAATTGAATGTTACCATAGATCATATCTATATAACGTAATGTAACGTGACACCTACATAAACATAACGTGACACCTGTACGTAACGTGACACCTACATAAACGTAAGGAAATTGAATGTTGCCATAGATCATATCTACATAAACGTAACGTGACACCTATGATCTATGGCAGCATTCAATTTCCTATATAGGAAATTGAATGTTACCATAGATCATATTTATATGAAATGTAACGTGACACCAACATAAACCAGCAACATTTTCACATTCAATTTAAAAAAAATAAAAACTCATTAAGTTTGCGAAACGTAACGTGACACGTTACATTACGTTTATGTAGGTGTCACGTTACGTTACGTTTATGTAGGTGTCACATTACGTTACGTTTATGTAAGTGTCACGTCACGTTACGTTTATGTAGGATCTTGTGGAATACATTCCTATCTAAATAGGACTTGAGACTCTATAAGAAATTACACAGGACTTAGCCTAGCATAAGTGTCTGAAAAAGAACTTATAAATAAGTCTCCCAAAACTAAATAGCACCAGCACACAAAGTTGGTCCTTTGTCTTCGGGCCTTGAACAGAGCACAACAACATAAACAAAGAAATCCCCAGAACCCCAGCCACTAAACCCAAAAGACAAGAACACTCTTGGACTATATTACCAAATGAGATTATTTGGTTAGAGTAACTCTAATGGTTTGTCAAATCCTTAAATCAAAGCCATTTAGTTATAATAAAAAGTGCCTTCCAATGGTGTCCCAAATCTTCAGCCAAAATTTGTCAAAAGACACAAGATTTGGTTTTGTCAAATTTTCCACACCAATTATGGCCACTATATGCTTTTTTTTTTTTGGAAAAATAGATCAAACGTTAGCAAAATTGATAGAATTAGGCGTGCCAAAATAACATGAGAACCATTTTGAGTGGTCTAAAAAATAAAATAAAATAAAATAAAAAAGTGGCCTTTTTGTACTGTATCCAGCCAATAAATACTTGGGCAAATCCATGTGACAATGGAGCTGATCTTACTTAGATAACTCATTGCTATTTGTAATTATAGTATACATTCATAATGAGGGTAATGAATAATACAAAGAGGTTGATTGCATGACTAATTTACTAATTAAAGGAAAGATATCTAATTCAATGAAATAAAAACAAGTATTTTTAAAATCTGAATCTATCGATTAAAATTAATAAATAAATAAATAAATAGTAAAAAATTAGAGGGGATATGAGGAAGAGAGTGAGTACCGTGAGTTGAATCGTAGGACTGAGAGACTGAGAGAGAGAGAGAGAGAGAGAGAGAGAGAGAGAGAGAGAGAGAGGTGACTGGAATGTGAAACTGAAACTTTGCCCTAATTTGGAAAATTTTATACATTGCTCCGAACCAGCAGAGTTAACTGAACTGACACCGGTTCGTTTGGTTTACCGGTTGAACCGCCAGGCGGAGCGCGGTTTTCCCAAAATACACGAGTTCCTAGGAATGTTGGTCTATGTAACTCCAACACGAGAGGAAAAATTCATTTTAGAAATTTTGCAAGCCAAACATCGGTTTTGTGCCTCCAACAGGTGCTATAACGTGAGACAAACGCTATAACGTGAGACGCATTTTGCCTTGTTTCATATTTGCTCTCCACATGTTGTGCATTATATGGTAGGCAAAAGTCTCCTGCCAAAATCATCTATGCTTGGTTGCTCTATGTGTGTGTGTTTTTCCCCATTCAAACCTCCCTTCCACCTCTAACTCCTGCTCCATGTTCCAAGTAGCGTAGGTGTGGTGACACCTGCAGCCTTGCTGGTGTCTTGCTTTTTTTGTGGTGGTACTTGGTTTGAGGTGCATTTTTGTCACCTATGCTGATTTTTTCGTTGGCTTTTTTTGGCTAGTATGAGTCTGGTTTGTGGGTGTATTTAATGTTGTTTTGAAATCATCCTTTCTTGCACAAATTATTTTTTTTTTGTTTACTTTTCTAACACAATGGTTTGTCGATTGAGTCATTTATTCATTTTTTCCACAAGTTGAATTACATTAAAACAAAAGAAATTATCCCAAAAAAAAATTTCTTTAAATTTCAACTCAATTCTATTTGTGTATTTTTGGTCGAAGCCTTGCATGTTTTATAGTTGAGGCAATGAATACAATGGCATCAGCTGTTACGGATATAGTCAACATTGCTTTGGATTGGTGACATTCGCATTTGAGGTTCCTTTTGCTTGAGCTTTTGTTTTCGGAGTACACATTCATGGTAGGCTATCATTTCTTTAAACTTAAATTATTTGTGTCCTTAATTTAGTGGTATTTTGATCCGAAAAGTAACATTTTTTCTTAGGGGGGCGGGTTAAAGGGCATCTATTTGTGGAGGGCCTTCTTGTAGTTGTTATTTTGTTTTTACGTTCCCACAAAAGTTACAAGCCCTCCTAAACGGCCCCTTACAAACACTACAAGAAAAGGGGGTATAGAACACGGAAGTATTTACGATGGTACACTTGCCGTCGCAAAAAGTGAGTTGTTGTGACGGCATCACTTTGCCATCTCTAATAAATAGGGTTTTAGCGACGGTACCATTTCTTGTTGCAAAAAGAACGTTTTTGCGACGGCAAAAACTACAGTCGCAAAAAATTTGGGTTTTTTGGCGACAACAACCTCCTGCTGTCACAAATAAAGCCATTTTTTGCAACGACAATCCCTCATCAAAAATAAAAAATTATTTAAACTTTTATTTGCGACAGTGACACTTGACGTTGCAAAAAATAAAATCGAAAAATCTGAGAACTCAGTTTTTTTTTTTGCCTTTCGTGCATGTTTTTCCCCCCTTAACCAAAAATGCCTAATCTCAAAAATCCCTAACCTTTTGAACAAAAAAAAACACTATCTCTCTCTCTCTCTTCTCACGACTCTCTCGACTATGAACAGCGACAGACGACGGCGAGCCTCGAATCGATGGCGCCAAGTGATGGCAGCGAGCAGGGTGAGACGGCATCGAGCAGCATGCGACGGCGGTGAGTGAGCAACGACGGTCAGGCATTTTTTTCATCTTCGTCTTCACGTCTCAGTCAGTGTCCATATCTGAACTAGGTTAGCTCTTTTTCTTCTTCGTCTTCACGTCTCTCTCCATATCTAAACAAATTTCAGAGTGCTGAGGGTGCAATTAGGAGGAAAGGATGATCGTGTAACCGCTACTGAATTCGAGCAAGTTTCAATCCCACAAGAGATCATGTTTGGCACCTCTAAGGTTAATTTTGTTCTTTGTCTTCCAAAATTGCTTATGTCAATTTCTTCATTTTTTAAAAATATTTTACTTGTTGATTGATGTAAGTTTGTGGTACAATTGTAGGAACTATTTGATTTTATTGCTTCTGGGCTAGCAAAATTTGCCGAAAAGGAAGATGGAAAATTTCAATTGCCTAGTGGAAGGAAAAAGGAAATTGGATTCACCTTTTCTTTCACGGTGAAGCAGACATCTATTGACTCTGGCATACTGATCAAATGGACAAAGGGCTTTGTTTTCTTTGGAAGGTTGGTATTTCTTTGGGAAAATTGCATTTTAGTGGATAGCAAGTGCAAACAACCATGCATGAAATTCCGAATGTGAACAAAGTTGGTGAATAAATGTTCAGAAAACATTAGGAGACCACAATTTAGAAGTAATGTAAACATTTAAGAACTGACTTTCTAATAACAATTTTCCTAAATTTCTTTTTCTTTTCAACTATATATGAAAATTGGTTCACTGGAATTGCTGGTTGTCCTTGGAAAAAAAAAATATAGATGTTTTTTGGGGAGGTGGGGTTAAATGGATATATTTGAAGATGAAGTACATAGTGCTATCATTCAAACAAAAGTGAGAACCAATGCATCTAATCCTATTACA